CCCGGGCTTCTTTACGCATACGGCCCGGGCTTCCAAATGTGTGCCACTTTTGAACATTCGAAAATACAAAATTCAGATGTTGGAATTGTTGCATTTTGGGGGTTTAGGGACACCAAATTTTTGCTCATTTCGCATGGAAAGGTGTGTTTTCTTGGGTGGGTATGACAGTCATATTAAATAAAATACAACCCGGGGTATTCCGCATCACCCTCGGTCCCAGCCCTCCCGCGAGTCGGATCTCCCTCCGGCCTTCGGCCATTGGGTGATCCGACCCGCGGTCGGGATGGTACCTCGAGCAATACGGATTACACCGTGTTGTATTCTATATGTACTCTGATTTGTGACTCAATAGATATTCTGAAGAAACAAAATGTTACTGTAGAATGGATTCTTGCTATGCAGCACTGGTACAGGTAACAGGGTGGGGTTGTGTGGTGTTAATGACAAGTTTTTTGCTCAGAACCCAGAAGTTGTTGGTTTGAATCCTGCCATGTCACTGATCTTGTGCCCTTGGAAAAGGCACTTTGCACGACTTTCCTCACATCACTTAGGTGTAAAATTGGTGCCTGACTTTGGTTGGGGAGGTAAAAGGCAGTGGAAGGAGAGGGATGGGCTCTGCCTTTCAATATCGTGCCCTAGACACAGTGGATAACAAACCACTGCCCCTACATACAGCCTATCTCTATAACATGAGTACATATAGAGAGTGAAGAGATTCTTTTTACACAACCAAGGCTTTTATTCAGCTGACATTTCGGTGACCGTCTGTCACCTTCCTCAGGGCAATTCTGACTGGAATAAATTTTAAAAGACATGGTTTTGTAAAAAGAGTTTCTTTACTCAGTGTCTTACCAACTTGTTGAAACTATTAACAGATGAGTACCTATTATTATATAATTATTGAGTTTCACTAATCTGAACAACAACAGTTGGGTTAGGCAAAAAATTTTATTCAATTATTATGGAAAGGCAAACATGGAAAGGTGATAAAAGTTCATTTCATCTAAGCTTTACTCCAGGACACGGTCAGCAACACAATCAACTGGGACAGAGGAAGAATTACTTAGCGTTGATGGAGATATTAAATTTGTGTTGCATGGTTTGGTTTTCTAAACTTGCGCCCTAAAAAATACATGCTGTTTTCCTTGCAGTGCTGCTGATGATGCAGAATTGAGTAAGATTAAAGAGATCCAACAAGCAGTTAAGAACCTGTCTACTGAGCTGCAACATATGAACGGTGCAAATTTGGTAAGTACAGTCAGGTGGAAGATGTTGTCTCCTTAGTCATACAGTTACTACAGTGTACTATGATGTTGTGTGTGCAAGTGGTACTCTCCAAGCAGAGGTTTGGGTGTTTTTAGACTTTTTTATCAGGGTTTCTTTTTTGCATTAGAATTTTCTTTCACCCAACCCAACCTCTGCTGGCACTCACCCCGGGGCGGGGCAAACCTATTCAAGAAACGTGACAGTGCTCCTCCCCGGGAACCATTAAATTATCATTAGGGATATCCATTTTATTATCACACATCCAGCCAGTCAGAAAGGCATTCATTCAGCCACACGCCTCCTGCTGACTGTGCCTATTCATGTGTCTGGTTCACACCTACTTGCAGAACGACTGTAATGTGTTGAAGTGATTACAGACACACAATTATAGGTTTATAGCACATTGAAGCTTCCAAATGCCGGCAAAGGTAATTTTCACTTATTATTGATATTCACTAACAAGGATTAACTTTCATGTGGAATTTAATGTAAACTTTATATTAAAAACTTACATCAACACATAATTTGCCTTCTGCAGTCTGCCTCAGAACCGACTACTGGACCATCTGTGAATGAGAAAATACTTCAGCAGAACACAGAGCTGACCAGTTTTGTCGCAAGACTCAGTCAGGAAAAAGCCGAGCTGAGAAATGCCCTGGCTGATCTGGAGGAGCAAGTCTGGATGTACAGACAGAAGGACATCACAGCTGAGCAGGTGAAAATTTATTAACAATTAATAACTTCTGAAAGGCAAAAGTGTCACTGCAACTGTACTGCCCATGCATGAGAGGAAATTCAAGCATTAGGCATTATGACATATTCTATCCTGATGTTGTTATTGTCATAGACAGCAGCTAAGTGTGAAAATAAGTAGAGACAGCTTACTATACATGTACATGTATGTTTAACACATTTTCATTTGGGGGAGGGGGATGGCCTACTTACTGGTTTGGGAACTTGTGTCTCTTGCGATTGGCACCAACAACTTGTATAAACAAGTGTATAAACAACCTCTGCCACCAACGCGCGGTGCCACGCGTCATTTTTCTGTCGCACATCCAGGAGGTGCCACAGGAAAAACGCTGTGCGGTGGTGGCAGAGGTTGTTTATACGCTAAAAAAATCTGTCGCACAAAACATGCAGTGTGGCGCGCATGCGTGTTATTCCACACCTGACACATATAAATAACACACATGTAAATTGGGCCTTATATTCCCCCAGACATCTGTACCACAGAAGGCCATGCCGGCTGCAGGCCCTGGCTGGCAGCAGGAGAAGGCAGAGTTACTGTTGTCCCTGCAGCAGGCTCAGCAGGAAGTGGCTCGCCTCAGGTCTGAAGGCAGACAGCTGGTACAGGACATACAGGCTGAACCTCAACAGGCAGACCCTGCAGCTGATCATGTCAAGGTGGGACTCAGCATACAATGTATTTAAGCATGAGAGTACATCATGGTGTCTGGTGGCATAGTGGTAGAGCATTCGACTATGAAGCGGGGAGACTCGGGTTCGATCCGAGTCGTACCCGGGACATGTCTGAACATGCGGCCCGACGTTGTGCCCTTGGGAAAGGCACTTAACATGACTTTCCACACTCCACCCAGGTGTGAATGGGTACCTAACTTCGGTTGGGGAAAGTCATATTGAGGTCACCTTGTGTCGCCGAATGACAGCCGCACAGACCCTTGTGACAGTTCCACAAAAAATTGTGGAGCAAGTATGCGTTATCTTGTGCATTATTTGATTGTTGTGGTTTGTATTGATTATTATGTGATACCCTGCATCAATTCAGCCGTATAAAGGCTACTACTGCATGGTTACTGTTTGGACGATAAAAAACATTTATTATTACATCTGAGTTAGATTACATGTATAATTAAAAATTATATTGAAAACTGTTCTCCAACTGAAAAGGACTTTGGCTCACCAGAATTGTAGTCTGAATCTTGCAGTCTTCATCAGCTATCTAGCTCAAGTGCTGTAGATACTTTTAACAAAGTGATGACAGCACTGGGTCAAAAATCATCAAGTAGTGCTGACCACACATAACGATTTCTAATCTAACCGGATTTTTATAACCTAACTTTTGTCAGAACCTGTTAGGCATGTTGTACTTATTACTAATAGTCAAGGTGCATTTGGGGATTGCATGTCTTTGAGAAGATACTTGTTTGCCAGAGTACTGGATGAAATGCTCTTTATTTGTGTGCTCCTAGACTGTAGAATCCTTTATGATATTGAATTATAATTGTGAAGTACTAAGAACAAGCCGCGATATAATTATGGAAAAACGTTTTAATTATGGACTCCCACCCATAAATCCCAAACGCTTAACCCAACTGTCTTAATACTTTTTATGGTAACATATTAGGTGGTAATGAATATGCGGAAAGCGTTGATGAGTCCCTTGGGAATAGTCAAATTATAGATAATTATAGTATAATTATGTATAATTATACATAATGATTTTGGTATTATACATAATTATACATAACCCTTTGGACCATTATACATAATTATAGATAACCCTTTGGACCATTATATATAATTATACATAACCCTTTGGACCATTATCTATAATTATATATAACACTTTGGACCATTATACATAACCCTTTGTACCATTATACATAATTATACATAACAATTTGAATCATTATACATAATTATACATATTTATACATAATCTAGTATGACCATTATATATAATTATACATAACCCCTGCACTTATATTATGCAGTTATCCATAACTTTGGGATCATACTTCTGAACAAATGCACAGGGAGTCTTAATTGCAATGATTTCCATCCATACATGTACCTGTTTACAACTCAACACAGTCAAACCTACTCAAGCCGGCCACCCAGGGGACCGGAGAAAAACGGTCCGGTTGGACAGGTGGTCTGCCTGAAGAGGGTTTATTCTCTCAACTCACAACATAACTGAGAGTTAATCGTCTCCGATTCGAGGTGTTTTGATGTCAAATACGGCAGGTATCAGGTCCTAAACTTCACAGTTCCTGGCAAATAAAGCAATACAGCTGTATTTGACTATTTGAGATTCATCAGATTCAATCACATAGGAATTTTCTGAGTACGCACAGCACTATCAACATTTTCAAGCGCTTTGAAAGACAACTGACCGGATGCCAGCTGTAAGCCCCAAGTGAATGTATTCACGGTTTAATGGATTTCTATCTATGGTGTACAGTGCAGTACATACAGCAACACCATGGATGATACAAACTGTACGGTAGTACAGAAACTTTAATCGTTAAAAAGCCCTCTGTAGTAATAACGCAAATCATTAATGAGTAATGACAAATGGGCGTAAACCCAAGAAATTCCCACCCATAGCCATTGACCCAAAATGAACCAGTGGCGGCCATCTTCGTCCTTAGTCGAAAACATCACGTGGCAGTCGAAACCCAAGACAAACTGGTTGGTTTGAGACTAGATGTTTCCACTGATTGAAGGCTTTACAGAATTATGACCCTGTTGTCCGGTCGCCATAGGAAGGGATCGGGCCAAGGGCAGACCCAACTCGTGGCAGTCGTGTTGGCCAGGTGGCCGCACTGGGAAGATCGCTTAATGCTTGCATCAATGGGGAAAATTTTTGGATCCGAGAAAAAGCGGTCGCGACGGCCAGGTGGTTTAGTTGTAGAGGTGGTTGGCTTGGCAGGTTTGACTGTACTCAGGTTTTATATGATGGATGACTCCAAACCTGAAAAATCCCCATTAGTTAAACAAGCTGATCACCTACGGTTCACTACATTATCCAGTAATAAATTGTATCATATGCCACTGCTTTCCTATTGACAAGTTGTTTATAAGCACTACTACAAATGTATTTTGAACAAATAAGATGCTTCCAAGGATTAGTAGTAATTGTTTTTTTGAGATGAAAGCAGGCTATAACATATCTTAATAAAGAAAACTCAATTCAAAGTTTTTCCAAATCTTCCTGCATGTTATTCCTGGTGCATATAGACATGTCCAGAGCAATTCAAGTACACCCTTGTCCTTAAGTTAAGAGCACAATTGACAGGTACAACTAACAGATTGGCCAAGACAGTTTGTAAATTTTGATTTATGATTTTTTACTTACACCTGTCTCATGTGCACTTGTGGGCTAAAGGTGTTATTTCGGGACATTAACTTAAATGTAATTTTGAGGGTTTTCAACATACATATAGTTATGCTGACGGCATTCATGTACCGGTATGTGTAGCAGCAAAATGGGAAGATGCCTTTTTGTTCCTACAGATTTTTGTCACAAATGGGAAAGTTTTGTCTCCTGGAATATGGTGAAATTTATCTCAAAAGTTTTATTTAAAAGTTTTGGGTGTGGAGACATTTGAGGGTGTGGGTACAAGCGGATTGATCTGTGTGGCCTTGGTGTCAACAGGTCATGTGGGTCAGTTTAATGTCATTATAGGGATCTCGACAATAAAATCATGCTATTGGCCAGGAATTGTAGAAAGGAGAGTCTACGGGAATTTATGACAGTCTACTATCATGAAAATGTATGTACAAATGGCACCCAGGCTACATCCTAGCTTGTGTTAAAAATTGTTTTGCCAGAAAATGTATGATGTGAATTTTGAGCTTTTTTGGGAATCATCATTTCAACTGAACAATGGTACTAAAAGTTTATTATGTCATGATCTATTCTTACAATGTTAGCAAACTTTAATTTTCTTTCTTAAAAGTTCTTTCTGTTTTGGTACAATAGGTTGCAATACATTCCATTCTATGATAGTTCTTGGGAAGTAACTGGATCTGAAAATGTTTGTTTTGCAACTGAGAGTTCTGTATCTGAGGGGGTGGCCCCTTGTAGTGTTAGTGTTCTTTGTGATGTAATGTTGTGTCGGTATGGAGACTAGACTGTGCTTTGAAAAATAGGACTAAACATGCTTGTTGTCTTCTTTGTTGGAGTGTAGGCCATCCGAGCATGTGTTGAAGGTGTGTAACACTGGTGGTGGTCCTATAGTCATTGAACACAAACCTGGCTGCCCGCTTCTGAATAGCCTCTAGCTTATCTTCTAACATGCTAGATTTGGCGTCTTGCCGTCTCTGGGGATTCCAGATTACAGAGGCATATTCTAACCTAGGTCTGACTTGATTTTAACTCCATGGTTGCTCTCATATTTTCAGTTTGAATTCAACAATAATCAGTGAAGTACAGATTACTTTTCCTGTTCAACCCCAAGCCAAGCATTTGATCCAAACTACTTCTGAATCAGCTCCCTAGCCTGGGTGCCATCCTCCAGTTTCCGTAGGCTCTCTACCAGAAGCCAGCATCACTAGAGAACTGCCTATGGAGGATGACACTACTACATGTACATGTACATATACATGTACAATGCAAATTTTGACAGTATAGCATGTTCCAGATGTCCCAAATTCTCAGAATGTTAATCAATCATTTTTACAGACATAAGTTTCAGAGACTGTAAAAAAGGAACCTTTGATTCCTTCACATTTTTTCATCCCTCCCTGTCTCCTGTGTAGACCTCTACCAGGCTTCGGGAGGTGGCTGAAAAAGAGAAGAAACTGGCCAAACAGAGTATCATGCAGGGGAACTTAATGGTCTGCTAGAGAGTGCAGACTTTGCTGCACCAGCAGCTACAGAGTCCAGCAAAAGTTGATAGAGATAATTGACAGTAGCCTGCTAATCTAGTGGGAGGGGAACCAATTTGTCACACCCTCCCTATGCTTACAGGATGGCTTCCCTCATTGTCCCAAGGCAAGGGCCATAGGTTAGTCTGGCAAAACAAACACAGCTCTGGAGGCCAACCATCCCCAGGTTTTGGGGCCAGAAATTAGGCCAGACCCATAACATACTTATCCATTATGCACACTGGATGTTACCAGCCTGAGGGTGCCACTGGGTGCCATTTGGGTGCCATTGTGCTATGGGTCTGGCATCCAGGCTAGCCTTAGAGTCTAGACCTTAGACCTTAGATCCTCCTGTGCCTGATGGCACATCAGGCAGCAAGCTTCAACTTCTTTTTGTCAGCAGCTACAGTCTCTGCCTCCCAGGCTAGGGGCATAAATTTCCAACAAGCACCATAATTATGAAGTTTGAACTGTAAGTTCCAACATTAGAAATTGGACCAAATTTTGTCAAGGAATGACTTCTAAAGTGAACCAAGAACACAGATGAAATTTCAAGATAACTGTGCTGTGTTATCCCATGGAGGTAGAAATTCTACCTCCATGGTTATCCCATGCTTGAAGTTGAAACTAGCATGATAACCAGGTTAGCTTGAAACTAGGCTACCGGGTACTAGCAGGTTTCAAGACAACTATTAATGTCATTGTCTTAAAAGATACTGTCATAAGAAGAAGTAGAGTACTACTGTAGTACTGAGTACTACAGAGTCTCGAGGCTACCCTCAGGTAGG